CAGATGCAGTGGAAGAGCCCAGGCAGCAGGGAGATGACACGCAAATCACAGACAATCCCAGCAAAGCGTCCTGAAAACAGACTCCATTTGTGCTTCTCGAAACGAAAACAAAACAAACAAACAAAAACAAAACTCGCTTCTTAAATTGACCTCTGGTCTTCGGTGAAATCCCAGACTAGCTTCTTTACTGAGTTAAAATGTGAAACTCAGTATGAAGCTCAATACTTAGGAAAACAAATTCACAGGTCTTTAATGTGACCTCGAGGAAGACCAGGAGATAAAGGGCTTACGAGGCCAGCTCTGTCTCTCCTTTCACAGACAGCATGAATAGACAAGGAGGGACTCAGGCTTCTCTCTGGCTGCTCAGATGCTCTTTAGTGGCTAAAACAAAAACAAAACAAAAGACAGCCACAGAAACCAAACAGCTGGCTGTGCTGACAAAGGCCTCTAATCCCAGCACTGGGGAGGTAGAGGCAAAAGAGTCATCCTTGGCTACTCATTGGGTTCAAGGCCAGCCTGGACTACCAGTTTCAAAACAAAACTAAAACCTAGAGTTTGCCTCCAAAACCAAGCAGCTTCCATTGGTGACGGCTAGAATCCAGAAGACTAGGCCTGAGCCCAGCCTGGCCCAGTCAGTGGAAGACTGTGTGTCTTATGTAAGGCTGCAGTACCCTCCAACAGAGTGAGTAATTTTGTGCTATTTTTGGGATGGTGCAGTTCTTTAAAACAAAGTGATAAATTAAAGCGGCCTTGGTAATGCAGCAAAAATGTTGAGCCGTTTTAAGGGAAATGGAAAACGTGGCCTCAGCACTCACAGGCAGCAGCCGCAGAGGAGAAGCTCGAAGTTGCCTCTCAGCTCAGTTAAAAGACATCAAACAAGCCTGGAACAGAATTCTAGAAACTGGGCAGTACGGAGTCTTATGTCCGGGCCCGGGGAGTTACCAGTGCTCGTAACTGAACCGAGCTGGCAGAGAGTTCCTGGAAGGCTGGCAGCACATCCTTTATCACCCAGCCAGGTTAACGTCCCTCCCTTTGTGGTCCAGGGACCTGCGTGCTGGCTCCTGTCACCGCTCCTCAAGTCCAGCCCTCCTCCTCCCCATGGCATCTTGCTAAGTCCTGAATCCCACACGCTGAGTCAAACTTCAAAAAGGAGCTGATATTTTTATGGGGCACCTTTCGGTCTTTATTCAAAGGATCCCCTTTTGCCGCAGGTTCCTCTGAAAACAGGTGATGATGGCAGGGGGAGAAATCCATGACTCTGTTGCTGCTTAACTGCATTAAATACTTTTTATTTTTGTAATTCTTAGTGTATTCCATGTGTCCTACTTTCTAGTTTACTTTCCTGAATGCAAGTAAAATAAAAGTGTTAAAAGGGATCTATTACTTATTAAAGAAAGCATTTATATCATGGTCTCATATCAAGGAAGCAAAGGACGATGTTGAATGTTCAAGCTGCAGCCAGATATAGTGACAGGTGTTTTGGAATCTCAGCACTGGGGAGCTGAGGGAGCAGGGTTATTGTGAGCTCAAGGCCAGCTGGGGTTATATAGTTGTCCTAGTCAAAGACAGCAACTGTAATAAGGGAAAGCCCTTATTTGAGGTTGGCTTAGTTTAGTTTAAACTCATTGTTATCATGGCCAGAAGCATGGCTGCCTCCAGTCAGACATGGTGTTGGAAGAGGAACTGAGAGTCTATCTGGATTGGCAGGCAGCAGGAAGAGAGAGACACTGGGCCTGGGTTGAACATCTGAAACCTCAAAGCCAGCTCCTGGCCCCCCCTCCCCGGTGACACACTTCCTCCAACAATAGTGGCCTAATAGTGTCACTCCCTGATAACCAAACCTTCAATATTACGAATCTATAAGGACCAATCGTGTTCAGACCACCACAACAGTGACACCTGTCTCAACAACAACAAAACCCCAAACTAAACCAAATCAAACCAAAAAAATGGATCGGAGTGCTAGGAATATAGATGATTTTTTTTAAATCCTTTTTTTCCTGCCTTTAAACTTACTGCAGAGGAAAAACACCTAGTGCGCCTCATAGTTTTAAAATTCTGTAAATTTACCTGCTCTTATTTGTTAACAATACCTCAAATGAGCCAGCTCCCTGCATTTTTTCCCCAAGAAATTTCATCCCAGCATGCTCCTACTTTGTATGTGATTCATGAGTCACGGCCACAAGAAGCCAAACGTAATAACTGGGTGCACTGGAAGAGCGTCTCCGTGTGTCGCACTCTTCTCCCTCCCTCCCCAGGGTGGCAGAGTCACTCACGGATCAGAGCACTTGCTCTTGGCTCTCGTCCCTGATCTCACCTTTAGCCGTCCAGGCCACCACCACAGCTGCGCAGGAGGCCACAGTCAACCTTGCTTTCCTGGATCTCTTGGTGGCTGGCTTCTGGCCTCTTGTACCTTGATCTTCTTTCCCACTCTGCCCGAGGGAGGGGAATCTGAACAGCAAAGCTGCTCAAACTGAGAACTACCTTTAACCCCAGAATGGTTTCTCAAACACAGAGCTGGGAGACTGCAACAGTGACAGGGCCAGCCCGTCACTGCTAGAGTTGGAAATAGTGAGACCTGTATTTCCTTCTGATGCTCGTCAGACTCTGGACTTTATCAGACAGGATGAAGACCATGTTCCTGGGGCTTGACACTTGTTGAAACACTCATCCAAGACCCTGGCTGTGTGTGGCAGCCTGCCAGGGCAGGGACGAGGCCAAATTTAGCAGGGCCCTTCAGCACTGTGACCATGGGAGAGGGATGTGCTGTCCCACGAAGTCCAAAGCCTGGAGCAGCTCGTGTCTTTATCCTGGTTGTGGGGACTTGTCACCAGCTGCCAGGCGTTTGCAGTTTTCCAGGAGACCTGAAAGTCGCTGTCTTCCCGGGTGTGCTCTTATCCTGTTTTGGTTTGAATATCAGCGCCATTCCAAGCCTCACGTTTTAAAACTCTGGACTCCCGAGTTTGTGGAGCTATTTTGAAGGTTGTATAGTCTCGAGGGGGTGCTGGCATAAGTGGCCCCCAGGGCTTTGAAGCGTACACGCTCTGTGATTCCAGCCCCGACCTCCGCCACCTTGTCGACGATAGTCACATGAAAAGCGGTCCGTGCCTCCCCTGTGGCGATGGATTGAGATCTCTTTGACTATTAATCGGAATGAACTTTCTTCTCTTCAGAAGTCGCGTGCCCTGTCACACAGCAACAGAAGCGTAGCTGCTGAGCTAGAGCCGCCTTTAAAGCGTTACATGTCCTGAGCACTTATGGGCTGCAACCTCGGCTTTCTGAATCTTAAAAACGAGCAATGAGACCAGCTGGTTTCTAAGATTAGACTTGCCTTAAAGCCCTGAGAGGGCACAGTTGGAGAGACCTCTTGGAACAGGGGGAGAGCTGAGTTTCCTGTAGCTTAAAACTTTGAGAGTAACCTGTATACTAAAGAGACCGGAGTAGGTGGGGCAGGCGTCAGCTGGGGCAGGTCCTGGCCCTGATCTTCCCTCTGCCAATGGTCCTGGGCTGCTACATTCGTACTCTATGGCACCCAAGGAACTGCATAGCCAGCGAAGGCAGGTTTTCAAAACTCAGTCCATACTGGCATGAGCTTGCCCTGTGGCTCTTTATCCACAAGCAATACGGGTGTATTTTTATGAAAGGCAGCAAAGCGCTTGCATAGTATATATGTGTATGTATATATATATATACATATATATGCACACACATATATACACACATACATATATACATACACATAAACGAATCAATATATATACATGTAAATAAGTTTATTCATGTCTCATTTTAGGCAAGTTTATCCTAGTTTGTTAACTAGCTTGTTTGTTTGTTTGTCACTCTGTGACATGCTTCCTGTTGAATGACACTCAGAGGCTTGGCTACACTGGCCCACATGATCTTCCCTTTTAACCGTCGCAGAGGATGCTGTATGGGTGGCCCACGTTCTGTTTCCTTCTTTTTCTTAGCCGCCTCTCCGCTGGTGGATATCCCCTTTGCTTCTACTGTTTTGTCATTACTAAAATTGTGTCAGTGAACACGTATGTCAGCTGACGCACTTGACGACGTCTCCAAGACACGTATCTGGGATCAAAACAGTTGGGCTTACAGCAGTGCCTGCTCTGCACTTTGAGAAATTGTGCCAAACTGTCAATGTGATACTCCTACCAGGGACAGTACCACGTTTCCATGGATACTCTGTTTTTAAAGGGCGCCTTCACATGTTTTGGCAGCATGTACACTTTCTTCACTAATTGTTTATTTTTGCTCTGTGTTGTTTTGGTTAGGCTACCCTGTCTCTCATCAGTTTGTAGATTTTTTTTTAAATGAAGCTAAGAATGGCGGCGCATGTCTATAAATGCCCGTATTCAGAAGGCTGGGGTCGATTGGGCCATGTGAGTTTCAAGGCAACCTTGGTGATGAGGAGAGACTTCTCCTCAAATGAAAAGAATTATCTTAACACGGGTACTCCCGCTTAGCTTCCTGAACAATGCATTCCCCATCCACGTCTACCCCAGACAACTATTATTTTGAAGAAATTTCCCACACACCACTATTCCCACACATAAACATGAAGAGGATTCTCATAATGTTAACAAATATCTAGCACTCATATTTCCTTCATTGTCACCTAATTTTAAAAATAATCGGTGCTATCAAATATCCAGACAGTTAAATTTCATTTATTTTGAATATTTTTAAGTATTTGTTGGAATTGCTGTCCAAATGAAGTCCTTAATTCTAAATGGATAACAAGTCATAGACATACAGATAGATCGATAGATGATAGATAGATCGATAGATGATAGATAGATAGATTCTTTCCCACCCTCACTGGAGAATTCTGCTGGTTTTTCTGTGGCATTCCCTCAAGCCTCGATCTTGTGACTGCATCTGATGGTGTCATTTAATGAGTTCCTCTCCTTGCATATGTTTGGTTACATCTGAGGCTTGGCCAGAAACAGGCTTGACCTTTTGTCAAGAACACTTGAATTACTTACTGTGCTGCATAACTCCAACAAGGCCATATGGTTTTTCTGTCACTCCACGAGCTTACCAGCCACCCATATCTGTGTCCCCGGACCTACTTTGGGAAACAGAAGACAATACAGAATTTTAATACACAGAATTATTAAAAATAATAACCATGAAAATGTAACGATGCCTCTAAGGGCCACCTTAGGTCTGAGGGAGAATATCAAACAAGAGCAACCTGAAATAGGGTGTCCCCAGGGCTGGGGTTTTGATGTAGTTGGGGGCAATAACTAGTCGCTGGGGACACTGGGCTATGTGGCAGGAGTGTGTTCCTAGCTGCCATGGAAGAAAAGAGGAACCCATTAGGCACAGGCAAGCTGAGGCAAAGGCTGCTTACCTACCGCTCAGTAGGAGGCATAAGGCCTGGTGTGCGGTGTTCACACGGGGACGGCTGTCACAAGTCCTAGGGTGCCGGCCAGCTGGTGTGGAGAGCCGTCAGGAGGTAGGGTTCCACCGCAGGCAAGAAACTTGCACATCACAAGGGCGAAGGCAAGGGGTCCCCCAGTCCAGACAGGGCCTCTGGGCTTGCAGAAGGGCTCTGCACTCTGAGGGTCCCGATGGCACAGAGCGTCACCGATGAAGTTAGGAGTGCCCCGCTGGAGGTCAGGCACCGGGAGAGAAACCTGGAGAAAGGCCCCCTTGTTCCTGCAGTGTCTCTTTAGCGCCCTCTACCGATGACGCCCCAGATCGGACTCACCGTGAAGGAGAACGCTAGTTCTGTCAATGACAGGCCTCAGAGCAGGTGCTGGGCTGCAGGGCAATGAATTAACAGCTAACACAGTGGCCGCTGTTTGCCCTCCTGGTTTCTGTGAAGGCGCAAAAGGGCGGTAATTTGCTTCTATCGATCTTCCGGTGTTTACTGGATGCTTCTACAGGGAGGAAGCTCCCGCATCCCGAGAACCCAAGCTGCAATGCACACAAGCGCCTGGCTCCGCCCCCACAGCCAGCCTTCCCTCTTCTTACCTACTTTACCTCCCAGGGCTTCTTTTTTATCCTTTAGGTACATGAGACACTTCCGTCCCGGCTCACATCGTGCCTGCCCTTCTAACAACCTGACCCTCTCTCTTCCCACAGCCCTGGGCGAACGTGAAAGCCGTTTTCTACCAACCACATCCTTCTGGGTGAGTCTTGGCTCCAGCCACGAAGCTAGAACAGAATGTACGGAGATAGGGCTTCTCATTCCCACGTCACGTGACCCCCACCAACACCCCTGTGAGCTGCGTGCCCGCCCGGGGAAGTGACGCAGGTCACCCGGCCGGTGACAGAAGAAGCGGGATTAGAACACTGGGCTGTTTAACTCTGAGTCCCGGGAGCCTGCAGGCTTGGGAAGACTTCACATTCAGTAACTTCAAGCTGGGTCTTCATCTCCGCTCTGTTTGATTTACATTTCCAGGCCAGCATCACTGTGGAAAACTGGCCCCACTCCTCGCTGCTGCAAGGGTGAATTAGCTGGGGGCCATGCTGGAGAGCTCCCCCCGGGTGATGAGGACAGGGAGGAACTGGTGGGCTGACCAACCCTGCAGCTGCCCAGGTCCAGAACCCGGGTTATGACTTGGCGCATCCCATCACCCACCCCACCCGTGATCTGCTGGAGCACATGAAGGGACCTGACCCGTAGGATCTCCATGACACGGGGCAACAAGGACACGTCCAGGAAGAGTCCCAGTGAGGGCCGGGCATCGATAGTGTAATAGAAACCAGAGGCCTCGAACCAGACCAAAGACTCTTTGCGGTGAACACCTGCAAGTAAATACACAATGACAAAGGCGTTTACGGACTGACTCATTGCGTCACGCTGTGATTTCCATGACAAGATTTTTGATTTTTTTTCCTTTTTATGTATTTTATTTTTCTCTCTCTCTCTCTTAAATTTTGTTTTATTTGGGAGCTGTTGCAGGGCAGAGGGAGGATGTGAAGGGACGGGGGAATGCATGGGATCAAGATGCATGATGTGAAAATCACACTGAATAAATAGAAAAAGAGACGAGAACAAGGAAGTAAAGCCCCGTCTCTGTCCTACTCTGGCGGGATCCGGGTTTACCTGCGGCGTATTTTCTGCCTCTCAGCTGGGTAGACAGAGGCTCCAGCCCTCTCTCTAGACCGTGTTCCTTTCTCAGTGTCCTCCCTCCCCTCCACACGGAAGAAAATGGAAACTCTCAGGAGAATGTGAGAGAGAAGAAAGTAACTTCTGGACCTGGTGGGGACGCTGACACTGAGTCTCTTCCTTCTCCGTCTCAGGGGGCAGCGGTGAAAGCCCAGACATCCCAGCTGTGAGGGCCCCTGCAAACCCTGCTCCAGCCTCTTCTCTCCTCTCTCTTCTCCAGCTCAGCCTCGTCCTCCAAACATTCACCTACTCCCTCTGGAGTCACCTGCTGTAGCCCAGGGTCACCAGTTCTGCTGGTGAACTCTGCGCCCCTCTGATCCCGTCTTGCTCTCCTTCCTCCTAGCCAGGTTTTCCTGGCAAAAGCCAACAAAACAACAGAGAGTGCAGAATAAGTAAGCAGCTGCCCTCCCCGTCGCGTGGGAGGAGTCCCTGGAAGCGCCTCCTTCATTTCCACGGATGAGCCGGTGTTCCACAGCGCCTGGCACGGCTTCAAGGCTAGTCACAGTGGCCGTGGAGTCATTGTTTCGAGATAAAGGTAAATCCAGGCACTTTCTATTTTTAGGTTGTACTGTTTCTGGACAAAGGTTGTACATCCTATAATAGGAAGTCCCAAGAGTGTGAAGACTGTTTCCTCCCAGTTGAAACATTGTTGTTGTTGGCTGTTCTGAGCAGGAAGACACTGGGGTGAGTGGGCGAGGGTGGAGGGAAAGGTCTGGCTGTGCCGGGACCAATGGGAAAGTGAAGAATGGAGTCCGGGCAACTGGGATTGCAAGGATGGAGATTCAGAGCTCCAAGCCAAAGTACAGCCCTTGCTAGAGGATGAACCGTGACCCTTCCTTGAGGCTGCTTAGTTTGCAAAGACGGCTGCCAATGTGGGGTCAGCAAGCACAAGTTCTTGTTGCCTCAAGGGTTTGCTATTTGTCATTTAAAAAAAATGGTGAGTATGTAATTGATTCTGCTGGAATCTGATAAAGACAACAGTCCACTGCTGTCAAGACATAGGTAATAAATATCCTTTCTTCAGTACAGAGTTCCTGGAGTAAGGGCTGCGGATGCTGGCCTTGGTGTTGGATTTACATAGCATGCGTAAGATCCTGGATTCCACCTTTAGGGTCACGCAAACCAGATGTGTGGCCTATCAGTGATCGTGGGATCATTGGGCGGCCCCTGCAGGTGAAAAGCATGGGCTCGGTTTTGTTTTGTTTTGTTTTTTGCCTTGTTCTGTTTTGTGGCTCCCACCTTGCCTTGGGTTTAGAGTCACCACTTAGCCTTTGGTGTTACAGAACAGCACCAAATTCCAGTGTCCCATCCCCTGCAGTTAGTATTGCCCCAAGCACACAACCGTGGCTCCGGTTCCTGGCAAATCTGTGTTCTCCCTGAGCACTGCTTCTGTAACCAGGCGCTACTGAGATGCTTGGCTGTGGGATATAATCATGAGGTGTGGCCATAATTACTGGAGAGGTGGAACCAATTCCCAGCACAGCAAACACTCCCTGGGAAGTAGGGACTTGTTTCAGGGGACACCTTTTCTAATCTTCAGGTGAGGAGAAAGTGCTTTCCTCTAATGGGTAGGACAGGACACTTGTGCCCCTAGGGGGTTATAGGAGTCTACAGGACCAATGGCGGCATCCCCTCCTGTGCATCAGGACTCACTCTGTATCAGAGCCCCCCCCCCTTCCCACAGTAGGACTATCAGGATGTAAATTCAGCTTCCTAATGACTCTAGTGCTCTGGACACCGGACTGGGGACTGAATTGTCTTCAAACCCCCCCCCCTCCCAGCTGCAGGACGTGACCGTGGTTCAATATGCTTTTCTTTCACGCTGTGCTCCCCGTTGGTTTGTGAGTTTCAGTCATAGTTAGCACCAGCTAACCTATTCTTGGCTTTTTTTTTTCTTTTTTGACTCTTCAACTTTAGAGAACCAGAGCTCTGTTCTAGAGGATTCTGCCTCAATTCACGTTCCGTCCCTACCCAGTTAGTAAGGAATCGAGTCCCAGAACACCTGGGTCTATTTTCCCAGACTTCCCGCACTGTCTTAGGTCGGGCTCTTTTGGAACTGGTGTCCTACGCAAGGATTTGAGCGCGGCAGTTGCTTGTGAGGGAATCCTAGGAAGCAAAGGTAGAGAAAGATGGACAGGAAGCCAGTGAAGAGCCCTGGGCATCAAGCAGGAGACCTTGGGAGTCACTGGGGAGTAACTGCTGGAAAGTGGGCAGTTGTGGGCTGTTTCTAGAGTCCCCCCCTGCACGGATGAGGAAATGAGTTTATGATCTACCTCTTCTAGAACTGCAGAAGGCTGGTCTGGGGACTTTTTAACTCAATGGCTGCCTATAAAAGGCCTCAGCAGAGAAAAGGGTGTTCACATAATCGGCCCCTGGCATTGCGATACAACTTAGACATTGTCGGACCCTGTCACAGCCTTAGTGGCCACAACCATGCTGACGAAAACATCTACTCGACCAGCCCAAGCAGACCAACCAGATCTGGAGCATGCTCAGTCTAAATGGGGAGGTACTTGGGATGCCCCGGAGAGACACGGTGGAACGCCAGTGGTCTCAGTGCTAGAGCCGCTGCTGAGCAGCATTGGGGAACCATGGTTTCGACCGGAGGTAGCCATTCCTCTGCGGCTTCAGTGAGGCACCAGCTGGGCTCCATTTGACACTTAGCTCTTACCCAGAAGCGTTCGTTCACTCTTGGGTGAGCCAATGCCACACACTGTCACCAGCACCATAGTGGGTATGCAATGACCTCGCATAGCCACAAGAGGGAGCCGGTGATGTGAAGAGCCAGACTTAAAAGAGCAGTTGGTGACAAGAAGGACCCCCCCCCCAAGAGCTTCAACTAAACCCAGAAAGGAAATATGGAAGGAGAACTCAAACTAGGAGGGAGGAAGTCTCCAGAGAGCTTGGCAGGGTGAGCCTAAGAAAAACTAGAAAAATAAGTGTATTTTCCTAAGGATGAATCAGAATCAGGCGTGGTGGCACAAACCTGTATCCTTAGCATTTGGAAGGTAGATATAGGAAGATCAGGAATTCAAGATCGTTCTTGGTCGCATAGTTCAGGTTTGAGGACATTCTGTGCTATATGAGATGTATCAAAGAAGAAAGAAAGAAAGAAGGAAGGAGAGAGAGAGAGAGAGAGAGAGAGAGAGAGAGAGAGAGAGAGAGAGAGAGAGAGAGAGAGAGAGAGAGAGAGAGAAGTAAATAAATGGAATTGGAGGTATAGCTCAGTGGTTGAGTGTTTGGTTAGCATGTGTCAGGTCATAGACGGATTCCGAGTACCTCCCAAAATTAAAAATACGTGTAAAGAGTGAATATGCACATGCATTGGAGCAATCTGGACAAACCGAAAAGCAGTGAGCTGATGAGGGAGCGCGGCAGTCTCTCTGAGTTTGGGAAGGACACTGCGGTCCCTGGCCTCTGCCTTGTGAAGGCGCGGTCCAGGTGCCTGCACATCTGTGCGCACACCTGCTGGTCCCGTGCTCCTTCGTGCCGACGGACTCGAATTGCCTTGCTAAGCACGCCACCTTTACCCTTTAATTTCAGAGAAATGAATTAATAGCAGATACTGTCAACGTTTTGCAATAATTCTTGACTGAAGCTGTTAAGATAATCCTCTAAGTGAGCTATATAAATTTAATTGCTGGAACTTTATTAGAGAGCAAGGCCGTCTCAGAGGCCTCCGAGGCAGCCAGAAAGCGACGAGAATGATTTTAATTAAGCATCTTAAATTTCATATCTAATCGACGCTTTCCCTGCAAACCACAGGAACCAAAATGCGATTACTGCAGATTGCCTGAGTCCGCTTAGGAAAAAGACAAAAGCAAAGTGAATTTACGTCACGCCTCTTTGGGGCTCTAAATGTTATTAGACGTGTTTAAAAATGTGTTTGGCTCAGTTGGGTTTAGCTGTGGGCTATACAAAGCGTTTCTGGAAAATTATCTTACACGACCCAGGATAACTTACGCCTCCCCAACTAGAAGCTGTGGTGTCAGAAGAGTGAGGACCAATCAGCATGGGGGTCTTGCTACCAAGGGGTGGAGCTCCGTGTTTAAGCAGGGAAGAGATGGGACGATCTAGCTGTCAGTCAGCTGTTGTGAGGGACACTGGAGGCCACCTCTGTTCACCCCTGCACCTCTCCCAAAGCAGGTCTGAATGCGTCTACATCCAGGGGAAATGCTGCTTGCGTGGTCTCAATACTGCCTAAGCTTTGGAATATACCACGCGTACATAGAAAGGGCTGGTGTTTGTGTGAAAAACCGGAACACGAACTGGGGAAGAAGAATATTTGGAAGTGTCTGTGTGGGGGCTGCTGAAAAAATCTGCTGTATGTTTCTTACGGACTAGCGAGTTCTGGATTTGTACGAAACTTCCAGATCTTTTGACGTTTTGAATAAGCAGACTGGGTTTGTTTGCAGGTCCCTAATTCTTCTGGATTGCATTCAGTGTATAAGCCAGCTCCCTGCAGCAATTGCTCAGGATTATACTGGTGAGCAATTTGAAGTTTTCATCATTACTGCCATTGACTTTATGAATCTGAAGGCAATAAAAATTTTAAGACCAGTTTTACAACCTTTAAAAAATTTTACAACATTGAAATTATAACTAAAGAGAACCCAGCTATTCCTCCTTGGGTTCATCAACAAAGACAATGTTGGCCATTTCCTGTGAAAGGGGGAATGGGTTTTCAGTCCAGTGGAATGCTTTGAGATCAAATATATCAAAGCACAGGGCTGTGGGTTTCTGAAGACGCATGAATCAATACGTAGTTTACTCAGCTCCCAAATGAACAGTGGAAGCGTCTCGGGCATGTGAAGACTTAAGGAGTCACAGAGGGTAGGAATCCCACTAGGCTTTCCTACCCCACTGCTCCCCAGTGGTCTCACTAT